GTGGGGTTTTGGGAAGAGAGGTGGGGGAGGGAGTGGTCTTGTTTGGGTTTCTGGTGGTCTGGCGCTGACAGGTGAGACATTCTTGTTGCTTACGGTTCAAGTTGTCAAGTTCTTCTGATCAGTTATAGGGTGGATGGGGTGTATCGATCCTGCGCTATGGGTATGGGTGGAAGAAAGGTCGAGATTGTATCGAAGCCCGGGGGGGGTTGGGGGAACCAATACTAGAAAGCGGCTCTGCGAGGATACAAACACATTCATTTCTGACTTGCCCTACATAGTACAACGATGAGAACGAGTGAAAATAGCTGGTAATCGGACTGAAGCTCAGGGAGATTGGGCCGAGGACGTGTTGTTGTGCTGACATGAAAAACAGTCGAGCTGACACCATGCTGAATATTTGTCTTGGTGGACCATTCCTTCTACACACATCCTCAAAAGTGGCCCCTACATTCTAACTTACTTCCCAGCAGAGCGTCAAGAAGGCGGATATCCGATAACTTGAGCATCCAGATGAGAGAATCAATGCAAGTTATGCAAACTCATTGTCCATGATTGTTGGCCATCTTGGACTGGTATCCGTCAGTCGCTGGTGACAAGCCACGATACTTCATCGAACAACAGAAGCTTTCAATCGAGCTGGCAGCTCGATAGCTGTACCTGTACAGAAAGAAACAAAGACAACACACTGTCAAAACAGTGAAGGTAGATACACCGTGGCGGAGGAATGCTGCAAGCCATGCCAACCAAGTCTTCCCCAGCTAACCAGGATTCTCACGAGCACCCGCTGCTTCACCACGCATCCCACACCACAGAATGTTAGATCTGCACACTCTTCAGCTCATCGGCTCCATCAACTCCTAGACCAGCCGCTGGCTTCTTCTCTGTGTCTTGGTCGACCACTGGCTTCGGTGTATCGGGTTGGAAGTTAGGCTTGTTCACATCCACTCCTACGGTTGGGGTAGGGGCATCGATCAGTTTCTCCGTTCTTACAGCCTTGATGACTTCTGGAGCAGAGGCAAAATCTTTGACAACGTCACCACCAGCACGTACCGGAATCGGTGCTATCACCTCCTCGTGGTGACGAGCTAGCGGACTACCAATCTGTGTCCGTGGACTAGCGTTCGGACCTCTTGTGAAACGATGCGGAGAACGACCTCGTCCACCTTCATCATTGCCGATTGTCGGACTGGTGTAAGGAGACTCGCGTGGTGACTTTCCGAGATTGGTGTTAAGATTCAAGGGCATCTTTTTGGGCCTCCGCTGACCATATCTTTGATCTGCTCTCCACCGTAGAATGTCCAGGTATCCCGGTTCGACATTCTGTGCCTTGAACTCTCGTAGCTTCAGCTCACCGCTTTCTTCGTCCACAAAAACCTTGTCGCTTTCCATATCATCTGCGACCACAGAGAGGAACACGCCCCAAGATCGAGAAATCACGTACTTGCAATCGTAGTCGCGGCCAAAGAGAATGACTTGACCCCATTTTCCCATTGGACCAGGTGCAAGATCTACCGCGATGTTGTTTCCGCCCCAATCTCTTGCAAGAGGAATCCAGCTTGGGTGTGCGTAGGCTTTTTGAATGGCCTTGGGTGGCTGTGAGTCTTGTCGATCCAGTAGCTCCTGCCGCCACATCTTGCTGGTGCCATTCTGTGACAGATTTGAGGTAGAAGAAGATGCAGCGTTCGGTCCTTTCAGGGGATAGTGTGATTGCGGTTGTGACTGGCCACTCAAATACTCCTCATTGACCACTCTCCAGTTCTTCCATTCTTGAACGATTTCTTCGCAGTCTAAGAGCATGCAGCCAAATATGATACCGGTAGGTCTCCCACCGCGCTCTTGGCCATCATGAATACATAGTGAGTCGCGGACATCTTGGGGCAGAGAACAATCCAACTCATGCTCGAGTTCGTTGATGTCATTCTGGGTACATCCGTCCCCTAGCTGATCGTAGAGCTCTTCGTAATTCTTCTCCACCCACCGGTCTATCTTCTTCCACGAATGTGAAGCGGGTGGAGCTGGTGGGCCGCCATCGGCAAAGTTCTGCATCTGGATCTCACCAGGACTGACCCCCTCTTGATCGGGTGCCAGGGCTGATTTGCCGATCAACGACCTCATCCCCGGAGAGTATGGCCTAGAAGGAGAATGTGCAGATCCTGGAGTACCAGGCCAGCCATTTAAGGAGGCAGATGGCGGCTGAGAAAATTGTTCATCGTAGGGAGAGGCAAGATCAGGTCGGGATTCGGTGGCACTTGTAGCAATAGATGTCAATGGAGCGTGTCGGTTCTGATTAAGGGGAACGTGTTGGCCAGTGCGATAGGGCGAGTCGTGCGAAGCGTGCCGGTCTTTGGAGGTCATAGTATGCCAGAAGGAGTGCCATGCCTGGCCCAAGCTATAACAAAGGTCAGTCGACGACCTAAACATCCAACCAGTCGCCAGAGAGCTTACGAATTGGCAGCCATGCAGGGCTATTCTGCAGTGGCTGGCGGCGCCGTTGCAGAGGTCAAGGGGAGTGGTGACAAAGTCTGACAGCGCGCACAAAACTTCATAAAACTTGTGAGGGTGTGGTGATTGCGTTGAAGAATCGCGTTGGTGTTGGTGTTAGTGTTTGTGATGTGTAGCAAGTAGACAAGCGACCGTTGCATTCGTCAGTTGTGGAAGTCCGAATATGCTTGAAACCCCGTTTAAGGGTGGACGATAGGGGAACGAGAATAATAATGAATTGACGGGGAAATGACAGACGCATGCGGATTTACGTAGCGCTGTGCTGCGCTGCGCTGCACGTATATCTGACGGTTTTCTTTAGTTAAATACTCCGTACTACGTCCAGCACCTCGCTAAACACCACCATCATCATTCAGAAGAAAAGTGTCTATCTTGGGCAATGGCTCTCTAGAATCGCTCGTGAGTCGTGGAGCGCCTTCAATCTCACTGCTCAGGTTTCAATTGTGATTGTTTCACAAGCTTCCATGCACGTCACAATCATGGCGTAGTTGAGGGGCTGTCCTCGTATCCAGGTTCTCCAATTACCTTGTCCTCTCCCAAGCGAGGTCTCCATTACCTATCAGTTTGCTGTCCAGTTTGCCCAGAGCCCTAAGCTAGGCGAGAAGGCTGAAAAAGAGGTCTGAGAAGGGTTTGTTGACGAAGATTTCTCAACACATCGCCCTTGTGTAACACTGCTTTCTGGTCTGATGGCGAAAGAATTTGCCTCTCACTTCTTGCCTCTTGCCTCTGGCCTCTTGCCTTTAACTTAGCCACTAACTAGCCTCTAGCCTCCCGCCTCTGACAAGCTTCCGGCGTTTCACTCAGGCTACAACTACAAGAACGGATCGCTGGTAGCTGCATTAGGAAACCCTCGCAAGATCGCGCAGAAATAGAACAATCGCTCATACTCATACGTCCTGATCAAGGAGACCCTTTGGGGGGTCATGCTGAGAAGACAGGCCCCGTTGGCCCCTTAGATGTGTACCTACCGGCAAAATCCTTTTATCGGACAGTTTTTCGAGTGCTAGCCAACCCAGCTAATGCAGGTCCGAAGGTCCCATGTTTAAGCTATCGTGAAACACGTCTGTGGCGTTCATGTCTCAACACAAAGGACAATTCGCAGTCGGGGCTGTGAAGTCCAAAACTGATAGTAGATCGACTCGTCTAATTAAGTATACAGCACCATCGGGTATGGAGAATTCATAAAAATAAAAAACCTAATACTAGTACAGGCAGGCCAATTTGCGGAAGACATAGAATTTACAGGGAAAGGGTTTCTAAACGGTAGGCGGCACCACGAAAGACCAATCCAACTCGACAACGTCAAATGGCTCGGAGCTTTCTCGCTACAACCAGACTAACTACAACAATGGCAGCAATGACACCGAGAATGGCAAAGAACCACGCTAGCGACTCGGAGTTCTTTCCTGGCACTGGTACATTCATCCCGAACAGACCACAGATCAAGTTGAGAGGCACCAGGATGGTGGCCACGAGCGTGATCTTGCTAAGCACGTTGTTGGCGTGGTTGGCACGCACCAGATTATCCACATTGAGCTGCGCAAGGTAATTCCCATGAGATCGGGAGAGCATCTTCTCCACGTGCCCAAGGTTAGACATCATCGTAACAACGTGATCTTGAATGTCGCCGAGATAGAGTCCAATGTCAGCGCGAGGCGCCGCCGAGAATTGTTCGTTGCAGCGTTTGGCAAAGCCCTTGATGACATCTGCCTTACCGCCGAGGAGCCGCATCATATTGAGCACCCTCTTGCGGGAGATGCCGATTTGCCTGAGCAGAGCAGCGTAATCATCTTCGCGAGCAATGAATACCTGGTCTTCGATATCTTCAGATTCACGCTCTGCATCGCGTATGACGGGTCCAAAGGAGTCGACGATATCATCGATCAATGCGTAGCATATCCAATCAGCTCCAAGAGAGAGATAATCGCTCATCTTACTGATTCTTCGTCGTACAGTTCGGCCGTGTGGTTGCTCCGAGTAAGAAAAGGTGAGCAGACCATTCCTGAAAACCACAATATAGAGATTGATAGGGTCGAGGAAATCTTCGTCATTTTTGTCCATAATGAATGTTCGGAACGTGACAAAATAATACTGGTGGAAGAGCTCAACTTTCTCACGTGCTTCCTGTGTTTCAATATCTTCAACCGTCAGGGGGTGGACTCTGAACGCCTTGCCAATTGCGACAAGTTCGTCTTTAGTCGGGTTGACCACGTCTAGCCACCAGACACCACCACCGTCAGGAGGTAATTCGAAGAGGTCTCGGAAAGTATTCCCATTGGCGACAAGACCACCAAGGCCCGAAGCATGTTGCACGGATTGCATTTCTGAAGAGAACAAGCAGAAACGATCGGGTTCAGGAGGTGCAACAGCGCTCTCCATTAGTGAGAGTTTTTCGTCCATGTCAGAAGATTTGGAAGGCGGGGTGTCAGATGCCGGATCGTACTGCAAAGGCTCTGGATCTGGACTTGCCGATGTCCTAACAATTCGCGGCACATGAAGGTGCCTTACATCATGAAAGACCATGGACTTCTCATGCTTGGAGCTCACACTTTGTTTACGTGTGCCACGATTGAGGGCAGATGGGATCTGCCCCTGGGCACAAAGTGCAACGAATTCCTCCAGCTCCTCGAAGTCTATTGTATAGGTCTTGCCTGAATCATCAAGTTGAGGAAAGCAAACATCATCCTCTGGCGGACTGTCATCGTCATCCCTCCGTGTATCGGCTCGAACGACGCTGGCGTTGCTAATTGTTGGCCGTAATTGCTGGGTTGTACTCGAAAGAGGTCTTTGGCGCGTCTGGTTCGCTTCAACATCAGAGGGCGCTCTGCTCTCAAGGGTGTTCGCACGTTCCCGCCGTCGAGGATCGGCAAATGCATCAACAGAATTAGGGGGTGAGCTTGAGTAAGACGACGAAGAATCTCGAGAACGGTCACGCTCCCGGACTGAACGATTGGCAGAGCGGCGGGGAACCGTAGGACTAAAGCCGCTTGAGCCCCGCCTGATGTTCGGACTCAATTGGTCTTGATTGCCACTCCTATCTTCATCAACGATAGCATTCTCGAGGTCTCGTGGAATTGTACAAGGGCCACGTATTGCTTCATTGACCTGCAGTAGAACCGGGTGATCGATAGAGCCACTTCGACCGGTCAGTCTTCGAATGTTCCGTGGTGCGCTCGTTTCTGCTCGAGGAAGCGATGACGCTTGAAGACGATGGTCGTCCAATTCTGGCACTGGGGTGCTGAAGCGAGTGTCGACATGGTCCGAAGTTGGCGATCCGGTAGACATTTTCGCAGCTTCGATGTCTTGTTCCACGAAATCGAGAATCTAGCGCACTTGATTCAATCGAGCGGTGTACCCTCCAATCAAGCCTTGGTCCAGCCTCTCCGGCACCGTCACTGTCCCTCCGACCCGCTCCCAATAAGCGGGTTCTCCCTGTATCTGTGCCAATGTCTATGTCAAGAATGGTATAGTGAGTTCCAGAGCCCAGTTATGGAGGCCTTGTGGTGGTGCCGCAGAAAACAGGAGAAGCCGTGCCCAGGAGGGGTCGAATGAGGGAGCTTCTACACCGAGGTCCCGCCAACTCAATGACGTAAAAGGCAGAGGATTTACCGTTCGCCAGAATGAATGCTAGTGGTGGGAAGACTGCGTTGCAGTCCTCCTGTGGTTCGGGTTTGGTGGGAGAGTATGGAAATATCTGTGGCGGTGTTCGAAGTGGGTGCTTTAGCCCCAATTTGATGAACAGAGTCCAGGGAAGTATGACGGTTGCAATCTGCTGGTAGGGCTGCTGTGCAAGCGAGCGTCTGCTAGGGTGTATCTGGGTATTTAGTGAAAGGTATGAAGATTCTGTTGTAGAAAATAAAGGATTAGATCAAGGGGGGCCAGCCAACATGACCAGCAGGAAAATGCCAAGCCGGACAGCATCTTTTTCCTCATGGTGCATGACGGAGATATAGTTGGCTTGTTGATGGGAAACAGTTTGTTGTCTACAAGTATTATCACATACCAGCAGCACCGAACACAATCCGCGGAACTGACAAAATCGCTCGTGTCTCAGAATTCGGTCTTCTACCCGCATGGATAACCTTATCAGTCAGGTCCAGGATGCCTTTGAAGGACCTATTGTAAATCACGCATATCCCAGTCATTAATGCTTTGCTTACAAGTGGTAGGACTTTGAGGGGCAGCGAATTGCAGAACTACTCTGTACCATACTTCTGTCAGTCACCGCTGTAAGTTAACTAGGCCACAGTCCTCTTCGATCACTAAGAGGACCAGGCTGTAGCATTCGTGGTGGGCTATCTAGAACAAGACATCTACCTGACGTTGTGGATTGGTCTGGCTGGTTCCGTGATGACTGTATTGGCTGTTGTTCCTCCCTGGCCTGCTTTCAATCAGCACCCTGAACATTGGCTGAGGTCGGGTACATCAGGCATGTCTAATGCAGATATTGTTGTTGCTGGAAAGAAAGTTCAATGAGCTGGACGATATTGCTTCAGTGCTGCGGAGCTCTGCGATGTTACCATGCACATCTTCTGAATGTTCAAAGCTACCATGATCTTGTGTCTTTGCCATTTTATGCCATCTTTGACCTCATGCACCTCAAAACCACCAGATGCCGATGCCTTGAGTTTCTTGAGACAATGTCTCCCATGTGTGTATGCCTTGCCGAAAGAACTTTGCGCATAGGGTCACGCCTCGTAATATTTACCGGAATGCTCTCATAGCATTTCCAAGCGAGATAAGACTTCTTCGCACACGTGTGTTAACGGCCATATTTCTGGAATTCCCAATCACGATTGTCGAGAGGGCAGACTTGACGAGTCTTTAACCAACGGGAGATGCAATGAAAATGGAATGCGTGCTGTACATATGTTTAGCTTAGTAGATCGACCTCGTCAGCGTGGAATATACATTACAGATGCCCCAGGCGACTGTGCACTCTTCGTTGGTGGCCGAGCCCTGATTTGCCTGACACTCGATGCCTGGCTATAGTCAGTACCTACTGTCCCATAGTCAGAAGTTGGTGACGAACAGAGATCCATGATATGATTCCGACAGATGGCACAGTTGTCAACCACGATATCCCAGGCCCACAGTGCAACAGCATTCCACTATTCTGTGTTAACAATACCCGCTTGTATCCACAAGGATAGATTCCACATACCTTCTTGACTTCAAACCTCTTTCTGCCATCAGTTGCAGTGTCAGCTGCTCCACCTTTGACTGTCTTTGTATTCGCCTTGGTTTTTGCGGGCGCAGCTGGGCCAGCGTCGGGCATGTCGACATCGGCCATTTTGAGATGGAGCGGTCACTATTGAGATGGGGAGATGAGGTAATGGCAAGCAGAGATGGAAGATGCACGTCTGGAACACAGACTTAGAGAAAATGTAGAGGTGTATTTCAAAGTTCGATGGTTCCTTGAAGGCAACTCTTTGCAAGGCATCAGCGTTGAATATCACTAATTCTGTAAGAGGCTCAAAGCATAGTACGTAGTGATGGATCATAGTGGGGCGGAAGCTGCCGGCCCCCGTTACACGCCAATTCTTCACAATACTTGTGCCCAGCATCCAGTCACCGCCGCTTAAAGCTTAGCTTGAGCCTGCTATAAGTGTCAGCATGCCTATCCAACCACCACGCCACCTTCTTCCATTGTACAAGCTGTTCATCACCACCCTCACCATTTTCCACCATTCTCATACGAGTTCCACACTCCTTGTCGTGTAGACTTGTTACTGCCTCCAGCAACCTTAGCCGCTCCCAGAATCATCACAGACATCAGATATGAACTCTATCAGCAGACCAATCATAAACCCTTCCCTACTGTCCCGAAGAACAAACAAATTGCAACATACACCTCCCCGCAAGCGAACAAGATAGCAAGCTGAAACAAGATCTTGCTGCTGTACTACATTCTCCGTCGTACGATACAGTATCACACCTGAGATTTGCACTGTCTCGTCATTCTGTTTTTATTGTTCCAAGGGCTGCTTATTTTTCAAGCCCGCCGCTTGAGGGTACGATGATGTCGGCACCTCTTGCAAACTCCCTTCAAGGACCTCGCCGCTCACCAAGACGATCCAAGAAAGATTCCAACTCAATGGCTGCCCAAAGCAACGTATCGAGTTCTGAAACATCCCCTCCCACACTAGCTGCCGAAATAGCATGTTCAAAACCCCCTTCCACGAACGAGCCCAAGCCCAAGAGCCAAGCTACAGCCTCAAAGAAGAAGTCACAGGGATCGAAGAAACAGAATAATAGTCCAGAATCAAACCGCCCAAAACCATATGCGCAGACGTCATCTCAAAGCAATCTGTTGTCACCGGACAGGAAAGCAACGCCATTGAAGCAGGCCTACGCAGGCCCCACTTTTCATTCTTCCCCAGCTGCATCATCACTGCCGATGCCGAGCTTCTACTCTAAATCCTTGCCTACTGTCTCTGCAAGCCCTCGCTCAATAACAACAAATCAGCTTGATGGGGAAGGACCTGCAGATTCTGACATAGAAACATTGATGCCTATTAATTCCGAGGGTTCAACGCTAAGAGGTAGAGAGCCTTCACCTTTGGATTTCATGTTTGAAGCAGCCCGCAAAGCCAGGGATTCGCCCAAGACCCAGAGTCCGGACTTTCGAGCAGGTCGTCTCTCCCCATTCGATGATATCCCCAAAACAATGTCTCAGACACCCGGCGACCCGTCATCCGAACCCGTTTTCCCATTTGAACTTGACGGCAATGGGGGACGGCCACTGTCGATTGGGCCTTCGTTCGCTACGCCCTACAGAGATCGCATTGAAGCTCTTCGATCACCAAAAGCCCAGTCCGTTACTCCTATCCAAGGCTTGGGTGAGAAGGAGCGCAGGGAGAAAAGTGAAGCATTAAAGCGGTTCTTGACTAATGGTTCGCCACAAAGCTCGCCCCACAAGCCCGACATGAACAGCTACTTTCCAGATCGAGCGTCTGACGCTCAATCCGCTAGTCCAACTTTTAGTCGTCATCGATCTGGTCCACCAACTCCACAATATGGGATTCAACCTGGCCCTGTTCCACGGCATTACTTCCAGAATGTGCCGGTTGCAACGCCAGAGCGCGGGACTCCAATTCCACGACCTGTTTCTTCTCATCTTAGACGCGAGTACCAACCAGACGACTACCAAGCACCAGCCGAACTTGACTCAGACTCCGGCGCCTCCTCGTATTTTCCAGCAGCTCTTCAAAACAATCGCCGTTCCGTTTCTGGTCAGAACATTGGTAATCTCGGAAGCCGTCCCCAATATTCAATGCCGAATCAGAAAATACAGATGACAACGTCTCACAGCGCACAGAAGCTCGAAGACGATTTACGTCGTGTTTTGAAACTTGATCTTACCTCCAGCACTTGACACCTTCTATGTTCACCTGCACTTCATAGCGAATTTGATTGTTCTTAGATGTCCGGCACATCTATCCGTCTTTCCAATCTTTGTCGGAACGAGTTTCCATCAGTCTGGCGCTATGGATGGATAAATCTGTGCTTTGGCAACCTCCAGTTCATGAGAATAGATCTCATACTCTGCGGTTGGACCCGCTGAGGGTATTGGGGAGGCATTCTCATTGCATGCTGGGACTTGATGGTATCTTGATGCAATGCGGTAGCACGAGCAACCTGCAGGATACAATGAGGCCGTTCTATATATCTCACTCTTCATCACACTCGTTCTTCATGGTTTCCTTTGTTCTTGGCGTCTTCGAAGAGCTTCTGCTCGTTTTTAGTTTCTAGAGATAATTAGTTACTGGTGGCATTGCATAGCAAGTCACAACATCCGCTCTTTTAGCAATATCTTATAATTCGAAATCCGTTCTTTACCCATGTAGATTCATCTGATCCACCTTCGCAGGCTCTACCAACCATGAACTCCTCGCTTGCACGCAATCCCCCCAAAAGCAGCAAATGCAAAGACCCCCCCTTTGGAATGACTATCTCTCCATCCCAGTTGAGCAGACCACGTTCTCAATCCGCACTAGCACAACCCCTACACCCACAATTCACACACTGTATCACCTTCCCACCTCCTCCTCCTCCTGCACCTCCTGTAGCTGTCGCATCCTCTCCATCAGCACCAGCACCAGCACCAGCCTCGCCCTCCGCCCTCTCCAACGTCGCCTTGGGCACGCGACAGATACACGTGCTGCTGAAATTGGTCTCCTTGGTCTGGATGCACTTGACACAGCACAGCTTCTCGTAGCCCTGCTTCTTCCACTTCGCGATCAGCGCGGCGTCGGCGTAGTTGTTCTTCAACAGGTACTCGTACAGCGCTTTCGAGATGGCGCTTTTCGTGTAGTATAGCTC